GATGCTCCCCGGGCTGGAACTTGCAGCTGGCCTGGCCGCTCTGGAACTGGTTCGCCTCACCGCAAACAGAGCCGCCCCGAACCCCCTCTTCACCGTGGAATGGCCTCGTGCTCTACCTCCAGCGAGTGCTCATTAACCCGTAGCGGTGTTTCCAGCCAGCACCACAGGCAGCCGCCCGCCCTGAGCGGTCAGCCCGGCCGTGCCTCGGAACTGAATGTCAGAAGATTCGGGGAGCCCTTGGAGAGAGCCCGCCAAGCAGAGGCTCCCCCGTACCCAGTCATCCACATAGGAGTGAGAAAAGGGAAGGCTTTATTGTTTCCCAGTTTTACAGAGCTGTGTTGACACACGATGCCGCGAGTTTACACAGTGACCTGACGTGGGCATCCATCCCTCAGACAGTGAGAAAGAGATGTTTCCCTTGTGATGGGAATGTTTAGGATGTACTCTTAGCCAGTGTCAGCGTGGCCACACGGCCTTGTTTCCTGTAGTTGCCACACTGTACAGAACATCCCAGGAGTTATTTATTTTATAACTGAGGTTTGTACCTTCTGACCCCCATACTCCAATTCTCCCTCCTCTGGTAACCGCCAGTCTATCCTCTGTATCTGTGGGGTTTTAGGTTCCGCACACAGTGAGCTCATACATCATCTCTGTCTGACCCGTGTCGTGTAGCATGACACCCTCTGGGGGTGTCCACGGTGTGGAGAATGGCAGGATCTCCTTTTCTCTGGCAGAGCAGTACTCCACTGTGCGACTGTCCTGGCTCTTGTGAATAACGCTGCAGTGGACACAGGGGTGTCTCTTCAAGATCCAGATTTTCTTTCTTTCAGGTAAATCTCCAGAAGTGGAATTGTTGGGTTGTAAATAATTTGTAGTGTTCTGAGGAGCCTCCGTACTGTCTTCCACAGACATTCCCACCAGCATATGAGGGTTCCCTTTTCTCCACATCCTCACCAACAGTTATCAGTAGCTGGAAAGGTGGGTGGTGGTGTCTCCTCGCGGTTTTGATCGGCATTTCCCTGGTGATCAGTGAGGGGAGCATCTTTTTATTGACTGTTGGCCATCTGCATGTCTTCCTTAGAAAAATGCCCATTTTTAGTGGTATTGTTCTGTTCTCTCGAGTTGTATGAGTTCTTCACATAGTTTGGGGATTGGTCCCTTACCCCGTGCATGCTTTGTGAACACTGTTTTCACGTTCCGTAGGCTGCCTGTTCATGGTGGTGGTGGCCTCTGCTGTGCAGAAGCTTCTTAGTTTGATGTCATCCCACCTGCTTACTTTGGCTTTTGTTGCCTTTGTTTTTGGTGTCAAACTCAAAAATCACTGCCAAGAGTGATGTCATGGAGTTTACCAATATGTTTTCTTCTAGGATAGCTATGGCTTCAGTTTTTTTAATCCATTTTGAGTTGATCTTTGTGTATGGTGTAAGAAAGTCGCCCGGTTTCACTCCCTTGCATGTAGCTGTCCAGTTTTCCCAACACCAGTTACTGAAGAGGCTGTCTTTTCCCCACTGAATATTCTTGGTTCTTGGTCCTTTGTTGTAAATGAATTGATCATACATTCATGGGCTTATTTCTGGGCACTGTTCAGTTCCATGGAACTATATGTCTGTTTTTATGTCAATACTGTGCCATTTTGATGACTAGATTTGTAGTATAATTTGAGATCAGGGAGTATGATGGCTCCAGCTTTGTTGTTCTTTCAAAAGATTGCTTTGGCTGTTAGTAGTCTTTTGTATAAATTTTAGGGTGGTTTTTCTGTTTCTGTGGAGTATATTATCGGGATTTGACAGGGGTTGCTTTGAATCTATAGATGGCTTTGAGTACTATGGACATTTTAACAGCGTTCTTCCAATTTGTGAGCATGGAATATTTTTTTATGTGCATCTTTTTCAGCTTATTTCATCAATGAGATAGTTTTCAGAGTACAGGTTTTTGACTTTCTTGGTTAAATTTATTCCTAGGTATTCTTTTTGATGCAGTTCTAAATTTGCTTTCTTTATTTCTGTTTCTGAAAATGCAAGACTTTAAAAGCATCTTAAACAACTGTTGACATAATTACCATAAAGCAAATATCAAAGAAAATGTTTTATAACAACATATTCTCTAAGTGTGACTCAATTAACTTAGAAATAAAGGTAATTTAAAAAGCACTTAAAGAAAAATTTAAAATATATTAAAGTCAAAGAATACCAATCTTTGAAATTAGATTATACTTAGCAGTGAAAGCTAATTTAAAAAGTTGTGAAATGTGGCTAAGACAGTACTTAAAGGGATATTTATTGCTTTCAGTGCTATAATTAAAATAGAAATGTCCCAAAATAATTTGTCTATACCTTAAGAAATTAGACATAGAATAAGAGGACAAACCAAAAGTAAAAAGGAGAAAGTATGTATGGTAAGGGCAGAAATTAATCAAGTGGGAAATTGTAATGCCACACAGACAAGAACGATTCTGCAAAGAAAAAAATTGAGAATCTCTGGCAAAACTGAAAGGAAAAGAGACACAGAGAGAGAGAAGGCATAAATAACAGGCACTGTAGCAGCAGAGTAATGGTCCCCCAAAGCATCCACGTCCTAAACCCCAGAACCTGGGAATCCATGACCTCGAATGGCAGATTAGTAGGTACGATCAAGGCGAGGATGGAGATGGAGGAATGATCCTGGGTTTTTCAAGTGGTCATTAAAGTGAGAGAGGGAGGCAGATGATGTGACAAGGACTCTGCCCACCGTCCACCCTCATGGGCTCTAAAGATGGAGGGAGGGCCCCCAAGCCTGGGACCGCCTGTGAAGCTGCACCGCTGGGAGGAGACTTTCGCCGGAGTCTCCAGAAAGGGACACTGCTGCCAACACCTTGGTTTGGCCCAGTGAGACCTGTGCTGAACTGTGACCCGCAGAACAAGGTAATAAATTGTGTTGTTTTCAGGCTGAGTGTGTGGCAATTTGTTGCCGAACCTCTTGAAAAATCATGCAGGCGTGAGGTGGTCTAATCTACATGTGCAGCCATGATTAAAGCTGTAGTGTGATCATGTCATGAGCAGCTCCAGGGGAATACATTTGAAATCTTAGGATCAGTAGATAAATTCATAGAAAAATCTAACTTACCAATACTGACTGAAGAAAACACGGGAGACCTGAACATCTAGTACCCGGAATAAAATTGAAGTAAATGCAAATTTCCAGCAAGAAAATAGAAGATTCAGGTGGTTTTTTGGGTTCCACTAAAACTTCAAGGAAGAGAGAATTTAAATTTTAAACAAATTCTCCCAGAGAGTAAAGAGCATTCAGCATATTTGATGAGGTTAGTTTAAACTTGATAAGAACAGCGTGAGAAAAGGAAATTGCAAACAATCTCATGAACGTAGGTGAAAAAAAAACCTTCAAAAATCAGACGATCCAATTCAGCAATTCTTTAAAAGGGTAATACATCCTAGCAAGCTAGGATTATTTAATTCAGAAGATCTATTACTTTTGAATCCCCACATAATCATCTAAAGCAGGAAAAGTACACATCCATCAATAGCTGTGGCAAAAGTTTTGGCAGAATTTAAACCACATTAACAATACAGCCTCCTTCGCAGCTGGTTGGAAATGGAAGAGAACTTCCTTCATCTGATAAATGTATTTACACGCATCTCAAGCAGAAAGTTAACTGAATGCTACACACTGAAGTTTAAATGTCCCAGCGGTTGGGAAGGGGGTGTGCTGCAGTGACACTGAAGATGTGCATAGCCTGACAGGCTAGACACCCAGGGAGCAAAGCTCAGGTGCCTCATGAAACATGTGAATGTTCACATAAGTGTGGCTTATAATGGCCTCAGCCCAGAAGTGACCTAAATGTCCTGGAGACGGTATAAATGACCTTGGTATGTTCAGAGGTGAACAGGAGTGACAATGAGTGAATCTGATGTGGCACAGCAAAGTGTCAGAGAAATGCACGCAGCAGGACACCAGTTACTACAGCACCGAGAGCATGCAGTTCTGACCATGAGAAATGGGGAGGGGACTGTACACAAGGGACCAGACGTCCTCCCCGGGTCCACCTAGCCGCGTGTGGATACCCCCACTGCCATCCTGTCTTAAACCTGGTGGTAGGTGAGGGGTGTCCACTGTATTCTTCACTTCCTTCCATGTGCTATGTATGATACCTTGTATGTGTAGAAGAGGTCATAAGGCTTGTCAAGTGCTGATGTAGGGGAGAGCCTGGGTGAGGTGGTCCGCACGGCCCCGCATCAAACAAGGACACCCTCGTGAGAAGAATACCCTGTAATGCGCCTTCCAAGGGCACATGGCCTCTCCGACATCTCCCAGCTCGCACCCTGAGAAGTTAAATACTTTGTGCAGTCACCCAGTCGGCTAAAGCACAGTGAAGGTGGAGACACATATCTTTTTATTTCCAGCCAAATGCTCACTTAGTACCACCGCTGCTGCTGATGAATACTAGTTAATTACTCAAGTAAGGTGCCCAAGTCTGTCTGCAGAAGAGGAAATGCCTAGATTTTTAGAAACTAGTGCCGTTCCCACCTCAAATTACTGTGTTAACATTCATCTTCCACAACGTTACAGTCTGTCTGAGTCTAGCTTAGGAAGGAAATGGGAAAAGGGATTTAAGCAAGCCTGTGAGCATCCACTGATTCAGCGCTTCTACACACACCTCAGATCTTGGCTAGGTCCACCCAGGCAGGGCTGATGTTTTAGAAACAGGAGAGGCAGGGCTTCGTGTTTTTCAGAATGGCTTCTGGGTCATCGTCTGCTTGTTAAAGACTTTAGTCCAATCAGAAGTAAGCTTGGAGACAAGCAGGCGAAACCTAACAAAGTCTAGTGCCGTCAAAAGTTAAAATGTTTGCTGCAGTATAGATCAGGACGCTGGGTATGTGGACACCACCAGCGTGCTAGATACGGCAGCAGCTTCAGAAGGTTTCTGGTGTTCTGGACGTCCTGTGTCACAGCCACAGCTTCACGTTTGTGTGAAGTCGGCGTCCAAGAAGGTGTTTCTGCCCAGGCAAGTGTGCAAGTCTGGACGGAGCTCCACCAGCAAGCATTTGGAATTGTCAGGGCTATGAAACATTGATGTGTCTGTGTTTGTAAGTAAACTGGAGAGGAAAATGAAAGAAGATAATATAATTAAGCATGAAATTATTTAAAATGTGTATTAAATGTTGATGCCCCAAAGGAAGTACATACATTATATCAGCATGAAGGAGATAGGCTTGAAAAGGGGAAGCAGAGACGATTGGAACTCCAAATTCAGGGTGTTCATCACATTGAAACTCACTTCAAATTCTCTCTCTTTCTCTTTACCTGATGTCCAAAGTCATGTTAAAAATTAACCTTTGGACAAAGCAAAACAGAAGGAACAAAGCAGCAGCACACATGGACTCTAAGAAGAGACTAGCGGTTACCAAGGGGAGGGGGTGGCGGAGGGCAGGTGGGGAGGGAGAAGGGGATTAGGGGGCACTATAATTCACAATCACAATGTAGGTAGATCACCGGGAAGGCAGTCCAGCACTGAGAAGACAAGTAATGATTGTTTAGCATCTTACTACACTGACCGACAGTGGCTGCAATGGCGGGGAGGGGGACACTGAATAATATGGGTGAATGTTGGAACCACAATGTTGCTCATGTGGAACCTTCGTAAGATTGTATGTCAATGATACCTTAATAAAAAAAATTAAATGGAGGCATAGTTTACATCTCTAAAAGGGATGTGCCCGATTGAAGTGTACAGTCACAGGAGTTGAGAAAATGCCACGTAACTGGTCCCTAACCAAGATACACAGCGTGTCCCTGCCCCAACCCCCTGGGAGCCCCAGACGGCCCCTGCAGGGATTTTCGCCCATACTCACCCGCAAGTCAGTGGGAGTGGACAGCCTGGGCCGGACTTGAGGCTAACATTGAAAAAGGAAACAGTCACAGGATAACACAGGCACAGGGTCCCAAGGCTTCCAGCGGGCAGGAGGGAGCCTGGGTGGGGGAAAGGCACGGCTGAATCCTGCAGCTGGGGTGCGTGGTCCTGTCTGAGCAGGAAGCAGCCCTCTCTCCCCACTTCTCTGGTCCTCCCTGCTCCTCCCTGGACTTCCTTGGACCTCCCTGGCCCTCCCCACTAATCCCTGCCCTTGAGCTGTTGCTGGTGGTCCCAGATGAGCACCAGCACATGGGCTGGACCTGCTGACTGGTGCACCGTGCAGCCCCTTACATCTCTCCCAGTTGTCTGGGTGCCCAACCAGTGCTAATGGAGAGAAGTTACCTTATCCTCTGTTGTCCTTGAATCCCAGCGCCTCCCTGACTCGTGTGTCTTAGTAGGCATTGGCACCCCCTAGCACACCAGCCCTCAGAACTACAGCTTCTGGAGACAGAACCAGGTCCTTGGAGCAGGAAAGAACCTTCTAGATCTGTAAGGCACTTTAGCATTCCATCTAGCTCCAGCTACCCAAACTTTGAGCTGCTCTACCACAGATTTGGTACAGAGAGGAGAGGGAGGGAGAGAGAAGGAGGTGGGAGCCATGTCTGTGGGAAGGGACACTACCTCCCAACAGCCCCCGACCTTCTGAGCCTCAGTGGCCCACATGCCAAGCGCCTGTACTCCAGTGGAGGGGGGCTGATCCATCCCACCTCCTGTGCCCTGGCACTGACCCTCCAGGGGTGCTTTCTCTGCGCCTCCCCCTTCACCTCCCCGCCCAGTGGGGATGGAGCAAATGGGAGAACAGCTCAGAATTGTTCCTGGTGCTCAGGGAACAAAAACGTCCCTGTTGCTGCCTGCACAATGCCCCCTTCTCCCCGCCAGCCGCGCAGGGGGCCACAGTGGCATGCCTTGCCTTCCCAGGCCCCTGCAGCCTCCGCTCTGACTCCGTCTGCACCCTCCCACCCCCACCCATGCCTCTGGCCTGCCCTCCGTGAAAGGGGGCTGGGGGAATGTTCCAGGGTAGCAACAGGAGCGCCCGCGAGGAGAGCGGGGCCTGACTCTCTCCCATCTTTCCCAGCGACCGTCAGCCATGCACAGTGCTTCAAGCTCAGCAGCGGGCCCCTGGGCCATGGGTCACATGTGTGGGGACAAGGTGTCTGTGTAGGAAGGCAATGGCAGGCCCGTGGTCACCAGCACTGCGGGCCCCTCACAGGGCCTGGCCCATCCCCTAGCCAGGAGTGGCAGGGCCACGCTCCATCAGGGGCGTGGCTCATCATCTCTTATCTGCTTCTTTGCATCTGTTTTTCTGGTGATACCTTTCCACTGTTTTCTCCAGTGGGGATTTTCGCAGACGGGTTCCAGAGGCCACAGAAATGCAGTGTCAGCTCGAGAAGGCTGGAAAAATCACAGTGGCCAGGAGGCTCTTCCCTTTGCAAAGGCAGGAGAAAGTTCCTCTACAAGGAATCTAGGCCCCGCTGGCGAGGACTTCGGTGCTCGGCGGGGAATGGGGTATCTAGCAAGTGGGGGCTCAGGGTGCTTGGTGGTGTGCGATCCAGGGATTCTCAGTGGAGGCCCCAAGGCAAGCATTCGGGCACCCCCTGCACTGCAGGCCGGCGTCCCCGGAGACGCCACACAGGTGGAAGCTGTTGGAACCACCTGGCTCTAAAACCTCAGCTGTCTCGCGTGTCTGCCTGTGAACCGGCCTTCCCGGGTGTGCAGGCCTGAGCACGAAGAGAAGCGGCCTGTGTTCTGTGTGGACCCCACCCAGGCTGCTCACCGAAGGTTTGGGCCCCCAGCTCCTGTGCTTGTTTTAGCAGCTCTGCTGGGGTGTCACCGCCACACCGTGCACCGCCCCTCACAGGAGCATTCTGGCACTCCTGGGTGTCTGCACACACCGGAAATGCACAGTCCGGAGGGCGCCCCCCCACCCCTCCCTGCCCAGGACCAGCCACCTGACTCTTGGATAGTGTTCCTTAACATAGCTCTTTATTTTGTTTCTTTATTTTAGAAATGTAAAGTGAGATCAGCTAAGGGTGAAGTACTACTCATCAAGATGAGTTGGGTGGTGTGCGAAGTGCAGCCCAGCTCTGTCCTTAGAGGGATGTTCACCGTGGGCGGCTGTGCCAGATCCGTCTGCAGCCCCTTCTCTTCGGCCACGTGTGTCCCCTGGTGACCCACTCCAGGCCGAACCCCTGGGAAGTGCCGCACGCTCACCGGGCCAGGCTTGGGAAGCAAGGGTCTGGGCACGTGTGGGCAGCTGGCACACAGTGGGAAGCACTGGTGGCTCCAGGAGACCTTGGGGGTACCACAACCCGGCAGGGCAGGCTGTCAGGAAACCCTGCTGGAGGAGAGGGACTGAGGCGAGCAGCTGGCTGTGGGCACAGGGGCCTGGGCAGGGGCAGGGCAAGGAAGACAAGCCGCGGTGGGGGTGTCGGCCCTGTGTTCAGCCCCAGGGAGGCCTGGGTGGAGCTGGCGGACCCCAGGCTGAGAGCCTGGCGAAGGAAGAGCCGGACACGCAGAACAGGGGTGACCCAAGGGCGTCCGAGGGGCGCTACCGCCTGTTGCCCAGAGGAGCGGCTGCCCGGGCGTGTGCCCCGCTCCTGCGGCCCCAAACGCCCCCGTGACTCCCCTGCAGCGGGGTCTGCGCCCCAGGCCTAACTCGGGACCCCTGCGCCCGGCCCCGCTGAGGTCCCCTAGCCAGCTGTGCTCTCCTCACACCACGTTGACTGTCACTTGGCTCATGACATCGCCCGCAGCGAACAGACGTTCCGAGCTCCGGGCAGCGCGCCAGGCCCGTGTGTGCCCACCGGCACCCCGGGGCCTCCGGCGCACCTCCACGCCCGCTCTGCGCCGGTTCCGGTGCCGGCCGCCAGCCGCGCTGCAGGCCAGCCCCGGGCGCAGGGACGGGCACCCCCCCCCCGCCCAGGAGCGCCTTCCTCCCGGGGCGCTGGCCGCCGCTGTTCCCGAGGACACAGGCGCAGCCCCGGGGCCAGCCGGGCAGCCTGGCAGCCTTCGCCTGTCGGTGAGCGGCGGCGGCGCCCTGCGCTCGCGCTCCGTGCACGGCGGGCAGGCGCGTGGCTGGTTTTGTGCCGCTCCTTCCTCCCGCGTCCTGAGCATCCGCGTCGGTGGACCCGGGGAACCGGACGGTGGCGGACGCCACGCAGTACACAGAGGGCCTGAACCGGGCGGGAGCGGGGGGGGACTCAGTCCTTCTTTCCTCCGCCTGAGCCGGGCACCTCCGCCTCTCCTCGCGCCGCAGTACCGCCCGGCTGTCCTGGGCCCCATGGCCGGCGGTGGGAGCCAGTTCCTCCTGAGACGTCTCTGGCCGTCTGGCCGTCTCCCTCCTGTTGTTCCCCCACGGAGAGCCCCGTGGCTCCCGGCAGTGGTCCCTGGGCACCACGCCCTTACCAACACCTGTACACTTGAGGGCCTAGTGGAAACTCATAGCAGTTTTAATTTGGATTTTTCTGAAAATAGTACTGTTGAGCCCCCTTTCTTGTTCTTAGTCATTGTCAGAACATCTTTATGAAGTATTGGCTTAGGTCCTTTGTTCTAAAAGTGGACTTTTTAGGGTTGATTTGTAGGAGTTACATATTCACAAGTCTTTTGTCAAATACAGGTATTGCTAGTGTTCACTACCAGGCTGTGGCCCGCCTTTTCATTTCCTAAATGTTGTCGTGAGATAAGAAATGGTACATTTTAATGAAGTTCAGGTTAATCACTTTAAGTGGTCAGTGCATTTTGTGTCCTACCCTGAGACTGATGATGACTAAATTACACTTTAAATTCTAATAATTTGTAGTTTACTTTGGATTTTCTGTGTATGTAATCATATTGCTTGTGAACAATCCATTTTTTTCCCTCAGTCCTTAACAGTTTTTGCTTTTCTTGCTGTATAACACTGGTTAGATGCTCTAGTACAACATTGGGTAGAAAAGTGATATTTGAAGACTTGAAGACACCCTTCTCAGAATTGATAAAACAAGCAGACAAAAAAAATTGGCAACAAATACGATCCACTTTGATACACACAGAACATTACATCTACAGGTGCAGAACACATTCAAGTGTTCATAGAACATTTACCCAAAAGAGAGTGTATGAAACAAGAGGTCTTGAAACAAGTCTCCACAAATTTTAAAGGACTAAAATCATATAAATTTATCTTCTTAGGCTACAGAAGAATTAAGCAGTAATCATGAAAACTAGAAAGTCCCTAAATGTTTGAAAATTAAAACTAACTTCTAAATATCCCATGGTTCAAAGAGGGAATCAAAATGGAAGTTCCCAGCCTTTTTCTCATCAGGGCTTACAGAAAATGGCACTGGGATAAACAGACAGAATTTGAGCCCCACATCTGATTTCCTTCTCACCCAGCCCCACCCAGCAGCCCTGGGAGCCCCACCCTGATGCCCTTTCTGGGGGCCTGAGCTCAGGGGGTCAGTTCAGCCGCTGTGGGAATGCGGACAGTCTGCTCTGTACTTCTGGTTGTGAGGGTGTTGCTGTATTATCTCCTTGGATCCAAAAACACAGTTTCTGAGTGGAAAATGAAGACACAATAGCAGCTTCTCTGTCTTCCTTAAGATTTTGAAAACAAACTTGCGAGCCATCTTTTAGAAATATTGATTCAATGTGGTTTATTTATCCCTTCCAGGAAAAAAAAATAGATGGACCAAAATAATTGATATAGCTTCCTGAGTACCTGCTCTGGCCAGACTTCCCCCTGGGTTCTTAGTTTTCTCTCTCAAACTTCTTACCTATGAAGTAGGTATTAGTCACACTTTCTAGGTGGTTAGACTGAAGCTCAAAGACTGATATAATCACACGATTTTATATGGGTCAGAAACCACAGCAGGACCCAGACTGACCCCACACCCCTTGTTTAAGCCCCACACAGCCCTATTCCTCTCGCCCCTGCTCTGCCTGACTAGGAAACATCACAGTGTCCGGACTTTTTGCATGGCAAACTAGAGCTAATTCAGTGGTGTTCACCTCTGTCACCGTGGCATTAAGATAATTGTCTGGAAGACCCGTGAGAAAGGCACTCAAAGAACCCGAGAATAGAGACTTATACATTTTTCTGGTATTAAAGCCACTGAGAAGAAATATCTTTTCAGCTGATACATGCTCTAGTATCTTCAGTGTCCTGCAAGATAGGTCTGAAATTATATTTAGAAATAGCTCAGCTCTTTCCATAAGATTAGCAAGTGCTGACAATAAACACTGCAAAAATATTATCTTACCTACCAGCATTTATTTCCCAACCATTGTAGTCTTTACATGTTAACTATGATTTACACTAGTCAAAATTTGCAGGCAAAGAACTTTTGCAGAGCATGTGAACTTCAGAGGCACGTAATGTTTAAATTATTTTGTGACATTTAGCTGCTCTGCATCTCTTCCGTAAGCCCGGTGAATGGAAGCAGAGCGGTTCCTGAGTTCCGCCTTTAAGTCGCCTCTGTGGCTCAGGGATCTGGCAGAGGGGCCGGAGGAGTCTAGCCTCTGCCAACACACCTGTTTGCTGCCGTGACTTCGTACCAGGCAGCACTGCTCCGGAGTCACTTTTCTGTCTTGGATTCTTGTTAAAGATGCTTTTTCTCCGGGGTTTCTCCCTTGAGTAGTACTTATAAGAATAGTTTGTCTCCTAAACTGTAAAATAAACGCTGCTGGCAAACAACCCCAAGGCAAAGAAGGGCGACATTCTTGCCCATCCTAGGGGGCTTCCAGCGAACCCAGCACGTGCAGGGATTCTCCGCCCCAAGCGGCCCGCGCAGCGCTCTCCGCGGCAGGGGTCTCAGGGCCAAGCTCTTGCTTCTCCCAGAGTTACTACGTGGCTGTTAACATAGGCATGGAATTCTAGAATCCGTGTTCACTGGTCAGGAACCCGGGAAAAACGAGTGCTACCCGGTGAGAGGCAAGCTTTTAAAAAGCCAGGAAATATGTGAAATCGCTCATTTCCGAACGCCCCAGACTTGGCGGGTCTGAGGGCAGATGACCTTCTGCGGAGCCAGGGCCCCGCCCGCTGACAGGACCAGTTCCCCAAGGGGAGGGGGCGGTGCCCCGGGGTTCGGCCTGCAGTGCGTGGGTCCCCGGGAAGGGCAGGGCGCCCTGGGGGTGGTCTGCAGCGCGGGGGTCCCCGGGAAGGGCAGGGGGCCGGGGGATGGTCGGCCCGGGTCCCCTGCCTACGCGTGCGCAGCCCTGCCAGGCGTTGGGCGGAGGGAGGAGGGTCCGGGGGCCACGTGGCTTCATAGGAATGCTCGGGCACGGGGGCGGAGAGCAGCCGACTACGGGCAGGCGCCGTAGCCAGTGAGCAGCTAGATCTGCCAGGGCAGACCAATCACGGCGTGGGGGTGGAGCGGCCTCCCGGGGCGGGGTCAGGGAGCATCCCGGGGCGGTGGACGCGGGGTGGGGAGAGGGGCGCCTGGAGGGTCTGCGGCCCGGGTCCGCTCTGGGTGAGTGTGGGGCGGGCGGGGGTCCCGGTGGGCGGCTGGGCGCGGCGGGAGGGTCCTGGAGCGGCGCGTCCACTGCGGAGACTCCGAGGAGTTTCTTTTACCTTTGAAAGTTGTACTTCTGCCCAGCTGCCCCGAGGCAGGCAGACCCGACAGGGCCGCGAGCTGCGGATGGCTCGGGGTGTCCGCTGTCCCCCGTCCCGGGCACAGGCGGTGCAGGGAACGGGCCAGGTGCCGCCTCCAACTCCAGGGGTCACCCCTGTCCCCCTGTCCCCACGGCGGGCACAGGCAATGCAGGGACCGTGGAGAACAGCCCCCCAACAACAGGGATGCGCCCCGTCCCTGGGGATAGGGGTCGTGGGGTCAAGGCTCCTGGCTGCAGAGTGGGCAGGCCTGGCTCCTGGGAACTCTCAGGACTGCTGAGCCGAGGGCCCCCCTTGCATTTCCTACTCTTTGTATCGCCCAGGTAACTGGTACCTGCTGGTGGAAATGGCTGTGGGTTGTGGGTGTTTGATGTTTTTATTCAGTGATGTTGAAAAGATTCTTTCAGGAGTGGAGAAAATATTAGTCATTTGAAATTGTTTATTTACTTATTTAAATATTAACTTAAAGCTTTTCTTTTCCATGAGTCACTTTCTGATACTAGAAATTGTTTTTTAAAGTAAAATGAAGCATCAAAGCTGTAAGAGCTGCACAGAGGCCTTTGTGAAATCGAGAAACAGAGAAGGCGTGCGGGGCGCACTGCTTCCTGGGTGCCAGTTCCCTGCGGTGAGCAGGGGCCCCGAACGGACGCTGATGTACCGTCAAAGTCCATGGTAATGTGACCTGTGTCACATGCCTGTGTCACCCCGCTCACCTCATCTCCACGTAGGTGTTTCATCTCACATGGTCACAGGCAGGCGGGGACCGTGCAGTGAGGTATCAGAGAGGGAGCCGGCACATGCACAAAACCTTCCTTACCGTGTGCCCCGTAGTTACCATGTATGTACCATGTTATCGTTACTGTGTACCATGTATGGTTACAGCTGATCTACACTGGTACTAGTTACTGTTGTTCATCTCTGGCTGGCCTACTTCATGAATTAAATGTTGTCATAGGTGTGTGTGTTCAGGAGAACACCATATGCATAGGGTTCAGTACTCTCCATGGCTTTGGGCCTCTCTGGGTCTGGGACAGTGTGCCCTGCAGATGGGGGCTGCTGTGACATTGTTGTTTACGAGCTGGCGTGGTACACCTCACACTCCTGTGGAAGTGAGCCGGCTGAGTTAGCTTTGCACAAGGGGGTGGTTAGCTGGCGGCCCTAAATTTTGACTCAGTGAGTCACGTGGGACTCTTAAACTGGGGATTTTATGAAGGAGATGAAAGGCTGAGGCCACCCGAGCATTCTGCACGCCGATGACCAATGTAGCCGAGGCACTTTGCCCGCAGGCCAGGTTCCTGGAAGGCAGGGATGGGCTTCCCATCAGGGACTGAGGGTGCTCTTCGTTCCCAGGCATGGTGTCTGCTGGGGGGGAACCACACCCTTACTTGGATGTCAGGTTTTCTAGAAAGCAATGTGGACATTCAGACTCCAGTCCTCGCATGATCTTTGAATGTCTGTTCTCTCTTTGCTGTGGATAATTAAGACGCGACCATACAAAAAAGGCCCAGGGATCACATTTTGGCAAAAGTGTGCCGTCGACACTCACTGCTTCTTTTTATTCTTCGCCTTATTTCTCTGCAGGGAAAACCGAGTGGTGACTTTAGCTTGGTTCTGATTTTAAGGAAGGTGAGAAAGTGGGTTGGGAGAGCAGTGTCTATGCTGACTCAGCGCCTGCTGAATGTCGTGGGCTGGGGCTGGAAGGCCCTCGGTCTTGGGAAGGATGTGGCTGGAGTCTCGAGGGCATGGAGCTGCTTGGCTGGCCTCCCTCTTCTGGCCAGGCTCTGCCTTCTCCAACAGCAGCTTGAAAGTGGTTTGAAATGGCGGGGCTTTTGCTGAGCAGGGTGGATTGGATCCCTGTGTGTAGACACGCCCCAGGAATGCCAGGGTTAAGGAAGGTGGAGTATGTATGTGTGCAAGCATTGAGCTCTGGTGGAAAGAATCCACGGTCTGACTCGGTGTGTGTGCTGGGGTGAGCCTGGCCGGGTCAGCCGGGGCAGCAGCTGTGGGGCTGCCCTGTGGGCTGCGGCTCTGCACTGGCAGGCCAGCTTGTCCCCCCTCCCGGGCTCACCGCCAGCCCTGCTGGCCCTTTGCTGCAGAAGTGATAAAAAAGTTGATTCACTTCTTGTTCACAGGGCTTGACTCAGCAGGGTAGTAGGAAGTGGCCCTCAGGCAGTACTGACTGGGTACAACCTGTCGCCGCACCAGGCAGCCTGGTGCCGTGTGTGTGGGTGCTGTGAGTTGAGCCAGTAGGAGCCCCTTCAGTGCCTCCCTGCAGAGGAATCCCCCTCTGTGCCTTCTTGTCCTGTGTGTGCAGAGTCGGCCCCTTCCCGGCTGGAACTGAAATCCAAACCATGCCATCGGCTGGCATGGACTGCCCCGGACATGGTTCTGCGGACACCGTGCAGACGGGGTCTGGAGTGGGAGCTCCTGGGCAGATCCTGGGCAGCTGGGTGCTGCGGGCATGCACGCCTGGAGAAGCATTCAGACATGCTTCGCTCCAGGTGATCTCAGAGGACAGAGGGAAGCATGCGGCCCCCGCTGGGCGGTGAGAACGCTGGGAGCCCAGGGGCGAGGAGACTGTGAGCTGGGCAGTGACTGCGGGCAGCTAGGATTTGGCCTGGGGAATGTCTTTTGCTGGTGCTGGAGAGCGGCCTCACCCCCAGGATGTTCTGTGGGAGGAAGGAAGAGGCCAGCAGAGGCGAGGAGGCGAGTCGGGGTGGTGTCCTGGGGGTGCAGTCACTCCGTGCCCCTCCTCCTCCATCAGAGCCCTCATTCGTCCCCCTGCTGCAGTGGGAGTCCCAGACCAGCCCTCACGGCCACCCCCGATTGGGATGCCTTGACCCAGGGCAGAGCGGGTTCCCCCGCAGGGACAGGCGCCAGGCCTGGGGCTTTCCCAGCACACTTTGTTCCTGAGGCTGACACCCGGTCTGTGAGGACCACCTCTCAAGATCGGGCTCCCTTTGTGCATGAGGTGGCTGGGCCCGTGCGCCCCATCCCAGCCATCCTATCTCCCTCCTCCCTTTGATTTCTGGGGCTGGGCTGATTGCTCTGGTATGTCCCCTGAGAGGTGACCCACCCGGCGTGCTCTGTGCCTGTCCTCGGAGTGGGAAGGCACAGGGAGACGGCACAGAGCAAGGACAGGGTCCAGCCCAGGAGTGACCCGAGGGAGAGACTTGCCTGCAGCAGGCCAGTGCTGGCCAGCGCGTCACCCGCTGGGTGCGGGCCGGGCTAGCGGTTACTGCCTCCCACCGTAACCCTCTGCTCTTCTGTTTAATGAATATGCTATCCCATTTCACGGAAACAGTTCTCAAGACACGCCACGTGAATACAGACTTAACTTACTCCGTGGTAAGTTTTGGTAGCCTGAAGCAGGTGTAGTTCCGTCCGTGTGGCATCGGGCCCTGGAGGTTCGCCTGTGTGTTTGACTGCATTGGGAGCGCATGTGTGCTGGGACCTCCCGGGGGCCCCGGGGTGTGGTGCTGGGTGGCGAAGCCTTTGCCCCCTGTGCCTAGTCTTGGGAGACTGGTCCTCGGGGCCTTGGGGTAGTGCCCTGACCCGGAGCCCAGGCTCAGGGTGCCTGCATGCAGGCTGGTATGGACCCCACACCCGGACAGGTGGACCTGCCCTGTGCCACCTCTGTGTGGGGAGTGGTGCAGACTAGCCCGCAGCCCACCTGGTTCTGTAGGTGGGGGGGCCTCCTGCTACCCCCCTCCTCCTCCCCCTCCCACAGGTGTTTTTTGAAAGTGGACCACATATCAGGTATATTTCTGGGGTATGTTTCGTATTAGTTGGCCCTAAATAAATGACTGAACACGCTTCTCACTTTGTGCATGTGCAGCCCCTGGCTCGGGCATTAGCCCAGGCTTCCGCACATCTGTTCTGTGGACTGGCCTGTAGCAGCACGCAGCGTCTGCGAGCATGTCTGGGAGGCCCCCAGGGTGCATCCCATCCTGGGCCGCCCTTCCTCCCTGGGGGTGGGCAGGGCAGGCTGTGGGAGGCTGGGCGTGGCTCCTGTCCTCCTGGGGAGTAGTTTGGGAGGGTGCCAGGAGGGGCAGAGCCAGGACAAGCAGGCGCACAGATGAAGTCATCTCGGGGTGGGTGCAGAGGCCCTGGGGGGCGAGCTGGGTGAACTGCAGGGCCAGGCTGAGGGGGCGGGTTGGACATGGGCCTGACACTCTGCCTGTCCCGTCCACAGCTCCCTGCCTGCTCAGCCACAGCTCTGCGTCCTCAGACTGCCAGTCAGCAAAGTCCCCCTGGGCTGGCTGTCCTCTGCCACTCCAGCCCATGGCCCCCACCCCGTCTGTGTCCCTCAACCCCAGGGTGCCTCCATGCCACCTCCTCACCCCTTGTCGGGCTGTGAATCAGGCTTGTTTCTATTTGGGGTGTGGGGCTTTGCCCACGAGGGCTGAACGGCTGTTTTCCGCAGGGACAGGCTCCCGAGGGAGAGGTGTGTCCGCTCCTGTGGCCCTTACGGCTGGAGCAGAAGGCAGGGATGCGGGGGGAGGGGTGCAGAGACAGTCAAACGGACAGAGGACTTGGAGCAGCTGCGGAGCAGGGGGCTGAGGAAGGGGCCCACACAGGTTTGCGGCGGCCACAGGGGCATCACAGCTGGGGCAGCCGCTGCCAGCCCAGCCTCGCCAGGCCTCTGGGTTGTAAGTGCCTGATCCCTGGTGCCCCAGGCTCCGTGGGAAGAGCTGGTTTGCAGCTGTCACCTGCATGTTTTATAGTGGCCCTTGTTCCAGGGGATACGTGTGCTTCTGTTCTGACTTTCTCCCTTCTGGGGGTGGCGGCCTTATGGAAATGGCCTCAGTGTGGCATGAACAGCGGATTGTGTGCTTGGAGTCACATGGCCGTGGTGACTCCCTGGCCACCCTGTGTCCTCAGGACAGTCCAGTGCTTGCAGAGTGGATGCGTGGCAGCCAAGCCCCAGCTTCCAGAGACCTGCGCTTTCCTCCCCCTTTTGGTTTCTGGCCTTTGTGAGCATTACATTTACCTACAAACCTATGGAAACGCTGGGTAAAAAGGGTTGAGGAGTTTGGTTTGCCTGGAGCTTGCCTGGTTGGTTAAATTAGGTTGCTTCCTCGCCCCTAGATTGTACATGCCCCATCACGCGTGTCCGTGTTGGCAGGGACCCTTGCTGACGTGAGACAGTCCTGAGCGCCCCGTCCTGGGTGCCCTAACCCCCCAGGGTTCCCCAGCTCACACGACTGCTTGGCATCTGGCTCTGTTCCCCTCCGGTCACCCCCTCAGGAGCCTGAAGGGAAGTGGCCCGAGGGCCCTGGGCTCAGTGGCGATCCACACGGACTCCCTGGACCCAGTCTTGTGTCTGTGGCTGTGGTCCTGGCGCAGTCTCTGGGGCTGGGCTTGGATGGTCCAGATCGTGCCCTGCCTGCTGCCTCCCCGCCTTGTGAGACCTAGACAGTGTGGAGCCGCTGCTGGAAGTTGGGGGCCAATCCAGCTCCCGCTGTGCGTGAGATGTCGTGGGCTCCGCAGACCTGAGCTGTGGAAGAAGAAGAGCCTGTCCCCTCCTGGCCGTAGATGCCGCCTCTTCCACCTGCCATCAGGCCTGGGGTGCTCTCCTGCCCTGGGTGTCATGGCGGCGGGGCCTCGTCCGGCTGGGAGAGGTCAGCCAGAGCAGGGCTCCCAGTCTGCTCCGAGCCCTCTCCGGGTGCCGGCTGTCTTCCTGCCACTTCCCGGTGTGGGCACAGAGCTCAGCACACTCCTGTGGTCGCCGCCTGTGCCCTCTGCTGTGCATGCCTGCTGGGCCTCCTGGCAGCCCACGTAGGTGCTGTAAGATGCTGACACATTGCTGCAGTGGACGCTGGGTCCTGGCCCGTGGTGCCGTGGGAAACTGTGTGCCTGTGGCAGCTATGAAGTGGAGCCATACGGCCCCGGCCACTGCTTCGGCTGGACATCCTTTTGTTTAAAGCTGCAGTGTAAATGCACGGTGAGCCCTCTTACTTAATCAGGATGCCGAAATTGTCAAGTGGCAAGTGGTGCAGACACCCCCGGCCCAGCCCGGGATCACCTCCTGCTGCTTGTTTCCCAAGGACGAGTCTTGCCCTTGGTTCCCGAGTCCAGCCCAGCCCCGCTCCGGAAGCTGCTGTCTGCACACCTGCTGGAAGGTGGCATGCAGGAGCCAGGTTCTGAACCTGTGGCCTCGGAGCAGGGGTGTGAGCAGGCAGTTAAAGGGTGAGCTCGTATGGTGCAGAGCGTGGAGCCGGACACAACGGCCTCTCAAGTCCAGACGCAGAGTCACGATTTTGCGGGTCAGCCTTCCAGGGCATGGGCTTCTCGGGCGTGCGGTGTCCCATGGACACTGACTTTGAAAAACACGGCCCCAGAGCATCCTGATCTCCTGGCCTTCACATATGGCCAGCACACGGCCCTGGCGCATTGTGACCTGCCCATGAAATGAGGTCCCACACATGGACCCTGCTGCCGACCCTGGTCCCAGGCCAAGCCTCGAGCTGCCGGGAGCCCTGTGGGCCTCCTCACATGAAGGTGGGGACAAGCTGGGGACTAGGTGGTGTTAACAGTGGGCCCAGCATGGCAGATCCTCTGGGAGGGCTGCAGTAAGATGCACACTGGAGCGGGGAGACCTCGAAGCGCTCCTCCCTTATCCCGCCCCCGGTGTCACCAGAGAGGCGTCAGTTTGCCTCTGTTTTCATGCATCATAAGCAGACATGATGAGCATTAATGAGATTTGTGCAGTGGGGTTTAAAAAAAGGCTTGCAAGTAAGTGAACAGTATAATGGAGAAAACAGAATTCTTCTGGGACCCAGGAGGCCCTGTGGCTCGGACACAGAGCTGGTGCATCTGAGGGCCCGGGGGACGGGGGCAGGAGCCCAGCCTGCCCACAGGAGGCGTGTCAGCCGAGCCCCAGGCTGGCCCTGCTCGCAGGAGGGTAGACGCGTGGGTCCTGTGGAGGCACCAGGCACTGGAGCCAGGGGTCCCTCTGGGGTTCCTGCCAGCCGGTCACCTTGACGTCCATCTGCGCACCAGTGGAGTGAATGCATGTGTTCTCTGCGGCGTCACTGTGCGCGTGGTGGGGGGCAGTCAGGCCGCAGGAATGCCGCCCCCCACCTTGGGGAGCGAGATGGCCGGAAAGCCCGCTTCCTTTCTTGTCCTTCCTGTGCCGCCTGTGGAGGCCCATTGTCCCCTCTTCCTGCAGACGCATCCGGTCTCCCTGCCCTGCGCACCCTGATGGCGCCCCCCACCCCCACCTCACCACCAGGCAGTGCCTGGCCCCTCTGGTGTTGCCCATGTGCCCGGTGTCCTTGGTGACGTCTCATCACAGGTGGCTCCATGGGCATGTGGGCTAGGCAGATATGGTTCTGGCATTTTGGACTTACTTCCTGCGGAGGTGACCTGGCAGCAGAAAGCCCCATGCACGTCCCAGGCGCCGGGGCCCCTGCTGGCCTGGCCCCCACGTCCTGTCCCACGTGGCCTTCCCGCGCCCCTCCTCTATGGCTGCAGGACTGCAGTCTCTGGCCGCCCATGTCAAGACCTGAAGTGGGACCTGGGCTGTGTGTTCTGGTGGCTTTCCCAGAGTGCCCCTGTTAGCAGCCCTCCCGTTAGCAGATTGCCGAGTGCGCTGAGGCTGCCTGCCTGGGGCTGGGCGCCTTCTCTGTAGGCTTGTCCCGCCCACCTTGCTTCCTCCTGTGACCACTGCAGTCCACACGCATGTCCACAGGGCCTGGAAGCTACGCTGCAGCTTTCTGTCCACCTGGCAGATATCTGTTCCCTCTGTTGATGCTGCCGAATGTCTTGTGTGAACTCCCTGCACTGGTGGAGGGCATTTACTGAGCCTCGCTGGGTGCTTGGCCCCAGTCACCTGTGTTGGACTGCCTGCAGCCACCCTGGCACAGGCGCCATTGCCTGGCCCAGGTGAGGGGATTAGGCACAGCCCGGTGCAGAGATGCAGACTCCACTGCAGTGGTGCCCTAGTGCCGGCCTCAGCTGCTCCCACAGACAATGGTGGGTGCACCCTGGTGGGTCTCTTAAACCCCAGTCTCTGTTTCTTCACTTGAAAATAAGAGAGACCACCCCTTGGTGGCAGGTGAGGCAGCGCCCAGCATGCCTGCAGCATGGCACTCCTACAGCTGTGCCTGAGACCTATGAGCTGTGCACATGTGGGGCCCGGGGAAACGAGAGGGGGTACACCTCAGGAGAACCGGAGCCCTGCCCGCCGGCACGTGCTGGTCCTTTCAGCCGTGTCCTCATCCTGCGTGGAGTGCCGAGCCACGGGGCTCCGGGTGAAGGCAGGCTTGTGGCACGTGAGCACCAGGCTGCCGTCAGCGGCCCACTGACGTGCGTGCTCTTCCTCCACGCAGATGAGCCTGCACGTTTGATCCTGGTAGAAGCCGTGGCAGGTCTGAACCCCATGGTGGCCTCCTCAGGAGCGGGCCGAACCATCTCCTGAGGGCTGGGGCCACACTTACCCTGTAACAACAAATAGGGAAACAAATGCTGAAGAGAGAAAAATAGGACACCGTGTGCAGAGATCAGGCTCAGACCTGAGTTTGGTGCACACTCGCTCAAGGGCTTCAGAAAATGCAGCTTCCTGAGCTGTCAAGGCTTCGCTGAAACTCAAAGCTTCAGTTAAAGGAAGACACACATGCTCATTTCTCCTTAGAATGTGACGTGAAATTAAGCAGAGCTGCATGGAGGGGGTGTCAGGCTGGAAGTGAATCCCAGCTGCAGAAGCCCGGCTTTCCCGAGCATGGTCTCGGGGGCACGCAGATCCTGCACTGACGTGCGGCCCTCTGATTGCAGCTTGGTGCGAAGATTGGCCTCTGCCACCCGGAGAGCAGCCTGTGGGGCTGAGGGCGGCCCGTCCACCTGACTGCGGTTGTCTCCCCCAGGGACCCTGGGAGCACAGCTTCTGCAGCGGCGGCATGGACCAGCTGGAGCCGTCCGCTTCCACTGCAGGAGGTAACGGGTCCCCAGAGCCATGGCCTGGGCTCCTTCCGAGGGCTCCGTGCTCTTGGACCAGCAGGGCTGGGGACCACCTGGGCCTTGGGGGTGCCCCTTGGGAGGAGGGTCTGACTGCAGTTGCTGAGGCGCGTGGCTCTGCGTGTGCTCCCACCAGCCCTGGAACCCCACCCGATCGGTGCACCAGAAACCTGCCTGGGGTGGTCAGGGCTAGTGGCCCCAGCTGGCTGGCACCCTGGCCCCGCGGCTCCCCGGCAGCTACGGGTTGGGCTGGAGGGCAGCCTCCTTCTTCCGCACTGGCTTGGATGGGAAGCACAGCCCTTTGGCCAGCTCTCCAGATACAATGGTCCCAGGGACACACCCAAATTAAAGGTTCCCTGTCTTGTCATGTCACTAGAGCTAAAATAAGTTGTGCTCGAGAGACCAGGGCGGGTGGGGGCACAGAGCGGCCTGGGCACACAGCCTGAGGACGGTGCGGGGCCTCGCTTATGCAGTCACACCCGCGTCCCTTGCACACAGGAGGACAGAGCCACGAGAGTGAGGAAGCCACAGGTCTGTGGATGGCCCATTCTCGGCACGCATGGCCTCCGCCTGCAGCCGTGCCTTGCTCTGCCCGCTCAGTGGGGCTCTGGGCTCAGGGGTTATATGTGCAGCAGGAGGAGGGCGGCCTGCAGGTGGGGCCCTTCCTCAGGTAAGTCCAGGACGGAGACGCCGTTTCCTACAGAAGGCGAATCAGAAGGGAGGGTAGGCTGCAGGTGGAATGGGGTGCCAGCGTCCACCGTGGGGCGCGTTCTGGTGCCGTCAGACCCAGGGCGTGCTGCAGAGCTCAGCCCAGGAATCAGGAGGCTGGCTCCACGCCGGTCTGCTCTGCGGTGCGGGCACCTTCTGGAGGCCCTTGGCTCCCGGGCCGCAGTGTGCAGGGTTTGAGGGAGGCTCTGGGGCACATCCGCACTACAGGTGTCCCCCTTGTGTGGGTGGATGGGTTTTGGGGTCCCAGGCTACATCCTATGTGAGGGCTAGACACTCGCTCTGGGACATTTCAGAATATGCACCCCGGAGGCTGATGCTTCAAAGGCACACCGCCGGCTAAGCACTGTCTGCAGTAACAGCCGGACTCCAGCGTGGGTCCTGGTGGGGAGAAGGAATTGCGTGCGGTGCCGCGTTGGTGTGGATTCAGAAGCCCGGTGACCGGCAGTGGGCTCGGACGCGGCCCAGCGAGCGGGAGTGGGGCGGGCAGAGGGTGGCGCTGTCCCGGGGCCCCCCGGCCCACTGCTTTTCTGAAGCAGGAGCCCTTTTCTAACAATGACAGGCACCCCCCATTACAAAGAAAAGAAGCATGGCGTCCTGAGTTAAGCTTTCGTGTGGTGATCAACGCTGGTCCTACAAGCCCAGGAACGAAATGTGCTGCCTTTATCTCTGAACTTCAAGATGAATGTTCTTAACTTTTTTCAATGAGTTAGTTAATCCCATTGTCTTTAAAGGCCGTCAGTGGGTTTTCGGCCATCGGGCAGTTGTCTGCTCATAGAGGACGTGGGCGCCTTCCCTTCCCCTCTGTCCCTGAGCCCTGGCCCCACCCCCTGACCCACAGGCAGTGAGGGACCGGAGCAGCCTTCCCGAGCTGCGGACGGTGTGGTGTGTCCCCTAGTGCTGCTGACGTGGGCCTGGGAGCGTCATCTGGCCTTTGTGTGTGACCTTTGCTTCTCTTCAGAACACGTCAGGCCAGACTAGGGGCCATGCCACCCGCATGGCCCCATGTCACCTGGTCACACCGGCAGTGGAGAATCACCCACAGCATCCCAGACTGCAGTACTGGGGACATAGGAACTGGGGGGACAGTTCGGGCCCTCACAGCTGGGGTGGGAGCTGAACACAAGGCCCCAACATTGAAGTGTTCCCTAGACGACCCTACGTTGCTCTCCCTGAGGCCTTGCCCGGCCTCTGTAGCCTGGAAGGTCCTACGGGGACGTCCAGCGGCCGGGGGCTGGGGCCCAGGCCCAGCATTGAGGGCCCAGTAAACGTGCTGTATCAAAGCTCGGCACCTGGCGCCTCCTGGCAGCAATGCCATTGGGCCCTGGTCCCGTTGCACTAGTGGGAGGTGTGGGACTGTTGACCGGGGTGGGGGTGTCCCACACACAGTGCTGCTCAGCTCTGGGCTCTGGCCGGCCCCCAGAGGGCCCCCGCTGCACAGACCCTGCCCCTTGCTGCCCGCTGCCTCCCCGAGGACACCGAGCAGGAATTGCTCTTCCTTCTCAGGGAGGTTGCCCTGCAGGTCCACAGTTCATGGGAGGTCCCAATGCCCTGGGGATGCAGGCCTGAGCCCCCTGGGAAGCCCACCTCTCAGAGCCCTTGGATACAGGGCAGGGCATGGGGGCTGTAGGCTGAGGGGAGGGAGTGGGTGGACCGCGTGATGGGGCCCCAGGGGCTTTACCTTTTCTCTCCTTTCGTTCTGTCGTGGCCACCCCATGCTCTGGCCCCAGAAGTGAGCCAGGGAAGGGTTCCAGGTCTTGGTTAATGGGGACTCCTGAGAGGGCGTGTCCCCAGGTGGGGACGCCCCACAGATGTCACGGGATGTGGTCACATCTGTGCCGTTACCCACGTGCAGGGGAACCGGGCTGCGGAAACCGGGACCGTTGTTTACTAGCCATCCTGTTGCCGTGACATCCCGGGGCTCCCGACCTCACAGCTGGGCGTTGCTCCATTTGACCCTTTGCTCTGCCCTGGTCTCGTTTCTTACCCACAAGACATTCATAATCGATGTCATATTCTTATACATAACACGCACACACCACAGGCAGACACCGAAGATTTTAATGCCATTTCACGGCGTTTTCATTCTGGTGTCTGCATTGTTTTTTTCCTGCACAAACTTGCTAAGGGAAGCCACCCTCTGGCGACTTGGGGTCATAGGGAATGACCTTGGACTCTGGGCCTTGGACAGTGAATCCACCTGACTTTTCTTAAAAAGCCTCCATGAGAAATCTCGTGTGTGACGTAAAAGCCTTTTCTCAGCCTATCTGTGAATCCTCTTCCTCCCCAAAAAAAGCCGTCCTGGGAATAATTCTCAGTGACCCGGCTGCCTCGTAGCCCCACTGGGGTGCAGCCTGCCTGGAGGGCCATCACAGGGTGTGTGGGCACCCCCGGGCCCTGCCCGCTCCTCTCCGGGCAGCTGACTCATCCTGTATGGATCCGAGTCCATGTTCTGAGCCCTTAACACACGGAAGCACCCGCTCTTCCTTCCCTTCTCTCCACACTGGTGTGTCTCCCAGGCAAAGGACTTGCTGCCAGGATCCCTGGCTGCATTTGCTGCGCCCTGTTTTGGTCTCTTTGTTCAGGAATGCAGCACCATTTTGCGGGTGAGGGATGTTAATGCCATTATTTACAATATCTTAACCTTCAGACAGTGAAGTAAAATGCCACACGGGCACTGAGGAGGAGGAAGGGGAGCAGTTCGAATTCGACAGTGGAGATGACGCCCCAGAAGCAGACAGACCAGCCCCTGGCACCCCCATGGCCAGCACCCAGCCAGGCACCCAGCCAGCAGGTGCTGCCCGCAGCTCAGGTGAGGCTCACCTCCTGCCCTTCTTGCTGTGGGGTGGACACCTGGGGCAGGTGCATGTCCAGGATCAGAGACTGGCCGTGTGTCTGTGATGCTGCGAGACCTGAAGTGGCTGAACCTAAATTTGGCTGGATTCTTGTACTCACTATTTTCCACACGTTTCAGTGTGTCCATCAACCTTCCTGTTGATATTTTGGGTGGAGAGGCATGGCTGTTTTCTAACGTGCTCATGTAGTCGGAGAAGCTGTCCTGGGAGCTGCCAGGCTGTGTGCGCCACTGTCCCCGGGGCTGCCCCGAGCCGGGAGCCCCCTGCACGCTGCCTCAGAGCCACCACATCTGGGAGCCCCAGGCGCCGGGGTGTCGGGTGGCTCGTGGCTCACCGTGTCCTTCCGCCTCCATCCAGGGAGCGTGTGGGCCGGGCCCCCTGATGGCTGTGTTTTTCCCAGGAGGTGAGGACGGGTTGGGGGATGACAGCATGGTGTCACTGGATCCGGCCGCCGTGTTGGTGCCCACGAGGGTCAACCCCTACTCTGTCATTGACATCACCCCCTTCCGGGAGGAGCAGCCGCCGTCCCCGGACCCAGAGGCTGAGGACGGGGGCACGAGCCTGCACATACCCAGCGGGTACTCGATTCCCGTGCCCTGCGGCTATGCCGTGCCATCCAGCTTGCCAGTCCTGCTGCCCGCCTACTCCAGCCCGATCATCGTCCGTGCTGCATCCCTGGACGAGGAAGGTAGTGGCCTCGGCCTCTCGGAGCCTGTTGGTTAGGCCTCTGCTGCTTCTGGGGTCTGTAGGGTGTTGGGTGGAGAGGAGAGGGCTGTGGCCTGGTCGCGTGCGTCCCCAGACTCATGCGGTAAAGCCTAACCCCAGTGTGGTGGTGTTGGGGGCCTGGGGAGGGAGTGAATGGGACTGAGGGCCTTGCAAGAGACCCCAGAGCCTCCTGCCTACCCTCACGTGAGGGCGTGGCCGGGGGGCCGTCCACAAACAGCATCAGCCTCCCCAGGTGGTGACCCTGCAGCCGCTGGCCTGGCTGTGAGCACTTGGTGTCGTGGTTTGCCAGCCCAGCCCGGGCCCTTGCCTGAGGACTGGAAGGGCTGAGACAAGACGGCAAGTTCTCAAGGTCCCAGCTGGGGCGCGGGCACTGAGCTGTCCATGGTGGGGAGGAGACCAAAACTGAGCCGGGGGAGGCAGCTCTCAGACGGGCCCAGGCCGACACCGACTGAGTGCTTCCTTTCCTCTCCCACCTGACGCATCTCCGCCCGCCGTCTGGGACACCCCACGGGCACGGCCCGGTCAGAGGCTCACGGGCCCCTCGAATGTAGATGTCAGCGAGATGTCAGTGATGGCTCTTTCCTTCCCCATTAGTAACAAGTGAGGATAGCTCTTTACGGAAAATCCCGAGTTATGTTTGGAAAGCACGGAAGGTTTTCAGGGCCTGTGATTTCCCGTGCGTTTTCCTGCCGTAATCTGCAGTCATCTGGAAGTGGGCCCTGGTGAACAATGCTGTTTGTATTTTGTGACCGTAAAGAGGAAGAGCAATCTGAAAATAAGGGCTTGTAGGTTATGGAGATTTTGTGCTTATGGAAAACATACTAATTTTAAAGCAATTAGCTTATATTCATATAATTTGGCTTTTTAAAATAACTGAACATTCTTAATTTAAAATCGGTAAGAATTCTTTTAAGACCATTAGGATGTTTTGCGCTGCCTAGAGCCATCAGTAAGCCCTGTAGGGATAAATGCTAAGCCCTCAGACACCCCAGGAGCAAGTGGGTCCATGTCTGTCTTCGGACCCTCTAAAGAGAAGCAGTGCACCGCCCCTTCGCTGAGGAGGTCTGAGCCCGGGCTGTGCTGGGGTCTCCTCCAGGGCTGCAGGCCGCCCCAAAGCACACGCCCTGGCCCAGGCTCCGTCGGAAACACGACCCTGGACCAGGAGCAGCCGCACTCATGGTTCTGGAAAGGACTGTGACGTCTGAGTGTGCTCACCATGGTCCTCTGGTGGCCAGAGAGCTTCCGGCTCCTCCCAGACAGTGCGGCCGTTCCTGAGGCTGGGGTGGGGCCTCCCTCCTGACCTCTCCCCATCAAAGGCTGGTCTTCCGGACACGCGGCGGTGCATCTGAGTTCTCTGGGGAGCCACAGGGAGGGTGGTGCACCTGTGGGGTCTCTCAATCCGTGAATCATCTCAGGGAAGCCTGTCCTTCATAAGGAAGGAAACAGGCTGCTCGAGGGCAGGGTCAGCATCCTGGTCATGTTCATCAGCTTGGAACAGTGGGGCCTCTTTCTCCTAACAGAGATGCCGGAGGCGGCAGAGGATGGCCTGCGGGACCCCGTAGGTTCTGAGGCTCCAGCACACAGGTACCTTTACTGATTTTATGTGACAGCCTCCCTCTGCTGGCACAGCGGTGCCCAGGCGCCCCCTGCCCACCCCTGTCCAGTGCCTCTGTCCCCACAGGCCTCTCCGTCTTCCACACACACTGCCCTCCAGCCGCCCCCGATTGGCCTCTGACTCCAGGACAGCAGGGTGTCAGTGTTGTTCTGTGTGAGCCTGCAAGGACAGCGCAGCAGACATGGCCCCCCCCCCCCCCGCCTCCTACTTGGGGACCTCAGTGACCCTCAGCACAGAGAGGGTTCTCAAGTCCTTCGCTGGGGGAGAAGTTATTTTTAATTTTGTCTCACCCAGCTTTCATTCAGAATCCCCCAAACTGATTTGATGAAAGGCCTTTCTTTCCAGCCACCTGTCTTCATAGTGCTTTTTCATCTGCTTGGAATGCCCAGAACATCGCACCCCACCAGGCAACTCCTACTTATCCTTCAAAGCCCCACTTAAATGCTCCATTTCATGAAGTTCCTTCCTCTGTGCTTGCAGAGCTGTATGCACACCTGTGCCATCATTCATTGCTCTGTGTTCTCACTGTAATTACCTGTGTCCCTTTCTGCTGCCGGAAAGAGGATTCTTCAAAGGCAAAGGCCAGGTTTGACCAGGTCTCGGAACATATACCGCCTAGCATGGCAGATGTGTTTATTTTTTGCTCTCAAATAGCCTTATTGAGATACAGCTCACATATCGCACATTCCACCTATGCCCAGGGCTTTTGGTATATATCATGTTACTCACTTTAAAATTGTGACAAAAATAATGTAGAATTTGCTGTTTGAATCCTTCAATGAAGAATCCAGTGGCATTAAATATGTTTACAGTGTTAGGCAGCCACCTCACTGTCCCCTTTGAGAGCATCTCCTCGTCCCAAGCAGATGCTCTGCCTTGTGTGGGGGTCCCTCCCGCTACCCGGCAGCCTTGCCCACGTCCTGTGTGGGAGTTGCCGGCAGCAGCCACCGTGTAACTGCAGCTGCACAGCGTCTGTCCCTTTGTGCCTGGCTTATGCCACCTGAGTTGTGCTGCCAGGTCCCCTTCATGCTGTAGTGCCAGGCCTTCCCTTGCATGTTGCACCGCATTTTGTCCATTGTGCGTGTGTTCCCGGCATGGGGCTCGCCACCCCAATGATGCCGCTGGGACGTTCGCAGGCGGGCCCCCCTCCCGGCCCTGTCGCCTTGGCTGCGCACCAAGACGGGACCTGCTCCCTGGTGTGGCGGCCGCGCTCAACATCCCTCCTTGGGGCAGTTTTGCATGCGGGCCCCTCCGGTTGCCTTTGGACTGCGGCGCACGGGTTCTGGTGCCCCCACAAGCTCACCACGCTCATTTCCCCCTTTTTAAAGTCCTATCCGAGTGAGCGTGCCATGTGGCCTCCTGCTGACTGCGGTCTGTGTCTGTCTCTGCGGAGGTGGTCCCGAGGCCTCCACCCGGTCTGCACGGGGTTTTCGGGTGGCGAGCGGGGCGGTCCCTCGGCAGGGGCCACTTTCCGGCATTTCCTCCCGTTCCCAGAGTTTCTTTTCACTCTTTTGACAGTCACCTCTGATGTACAATTCCTTTAATTCTGATGAAGTCCAGTTTATGTTTTTTTCTTTTATTGCCTGTGTTTCCCCAGTGAATCATGGGCACCCCCCACGTCACGAGGCTGTCTTGCTGTTTTCTTCTAAGAGCCCCACGGTTCAGCTCCGGGCGGTGCGGTGTCCTGGCATGAGTGCGTCTGGCGCCCCGACCCCCGTCTCCTCCCCATCTTCCGCCTGGTTGTTTACCCGTGTGGAAAGCACTGTACTGAATTCTCACCTGTCATCGTAAAACCCGTCTGTCCTCCCAGTCTGTCCGCCTCGCCTCCTATGTTTTGGGCCCTGTGCGAGTTGTCTGTATAGGTATATTTGTCACATCTTCCTACTGTCCTGAACCTTTGGTGACTGTATAATATCCTCCTTTGTCCTTTGTCTCCTTTTTTTGAGTCAAAGCCTGTTTTTTGTGGCCAGGTTTTAGCAAGTGTGAGACTATCTGCCCCCTGGCATGGCAGGCGTGTGGGGCAGAGGGCGTCGCCCTGTGCCCAGAAGCACACAGATTGATACCCAGTGGGGGAAGCAGGGCTCCGTGAGCGCCTGCGACAAGACCTGCCCTTGGCTGAAGGATGGAGTCATTTCAGTTGCTCAGGAATAAGCGCTGAGTGAGTGTGTTTCCCTAGAAGGCGGATCTGACATGTCACCCTGTTTTGTGCCACTCTCCTCGGTCTCCCCCTCCCTCCTGGCTTGCCTCCCTGCCCGGAACGTTCTTTGCTGAGGCTCTTCTGTCTGTGCAGATGTCCCCTCCCTCGCCTGTCACCTGCCACCCGTCGGTAGTTGAGAGCACACCCCTCATCCCGCCTCACAAGTGGGATCGTGTGTGTGAGCTGCAGGCAGAGGTGGTGGCCCTGTCACCTTGCAGAGGGAGGGTATCCCTCCTAAGTGGGTGGCTTTTCAGTTTGATTAACTTTTAGAACCAGAAAGTGCAAAATACTCCTTTTTTAGCCTGATGAGCACCTGGGCTCAGGGTGGGGACCCACTGAGCTGGTTTTGTGCACAGGCACAAGTGTGGAGTGTGTCCGTGGTGGACCCTTTATCTGGAGGTTTTCAAGACTTTTGCTCTTGACCCCTGAAGTCTCACAGATACCATAGCTCATTAGGACTTTTGGCAAAAAATAATGCTGACAGTAAAAGAGGCCGCCCACTGCACCTGTGGCTGGCTCTGGCCTGTGGCGTGGCATCACCATGCAGCCCAAATCAGTGACCCTCCACAGGGACGTTTCTGGGCATCTCGTTTACTGCTAGGGCTTCCCCTAGATCCAGCCTCTGCCCCTGCATATGCACCCCAGCCCACCTGCCACAAGAGACCCCCACCCGTCCATGTGCGGTTCGTCACGGCTGTGCCTCTCAGAGGTGACACTGCAGATATTGTATTGATCTGACCTCACACTCTGAGCATTCAGATGCCCCCTGTGTGTGGGACAGCATCTGGCTGCTGTGGAGACTGCCGGCCCCAGGACCGTCCTGCCGAGATGGAGGCCTTGCCGCTGAGAGCTCTGTGTGCTCTGTTGGGGGTGTCTCATGTCTCTTTCCTGCTGGCCTGTTTGGAGCCTGTGAAGGCAGGTCTCCCAGACATCTCTGCACCTGGCCGTGCATGTGCTCATTATGGACCTGCAGTGAGGTCCGGTTTGAATGGCAGGTGGTGCAGGCCTTTGGAGCGCGAGCTGCACCTCACGTTTGTGTTGCATGTAGCTCTGAGTGAATACTGAACTTGGCTACGTGTTGGAGCTGGTGCATCGACGAGAATGTGCAGATCAAGGCCTTCTGGCGGAGGGTCACCGCTGCCCACATGGGTCAGCAGGGGCTTCTGCTCTGGGCATGTGAGGCCCCCAGGCTCGCTCTGCCTAAAGCAGTGGATCTGACACATGCACCCCCGGGTTCCAACCAGCAGGCAGGATGCAAGGCAGCATCCCACTGCAGGCTGGTTGGGGTGGCACCAGAGGTGCCCAGGGGAGCGAAGAGGGAAGGGATGGCAGGGACCCTAAACCCATCCTCTTCCAGGTGTCAGCTTGGATGCTCAGAGCAGCTCCAAACAGCGGAAGCTGCTCTTGTCGCAGGCTGTCTGGCCGCAGCCCCTGGGAGAGGTTCGCATGCACTGTAGCCTGTGTTTTGGGGGCCCTGTGGGTCTGACTTCATGTGTGTTTTCTTGAAGTGAAGATGGAGTCCATGAAGAGGACAGTGCCCTGGCCCGGTGGGTTGCGGATCCGGCCAACACCGCGTGGATGGAGAGTGAGTACATGTGCCCCAGGGGGCTGACGCCACGTGCTGCCCCCCAGAGACTGGCCCTGAGCTCTCCGACCCCAAGTCCTGTCTCGGACTGGTGAAGTGTGTTCACTGGCCTGAGGTGCTCGCCAGGGCGATTTCTCTGGCTCCTGAAGCCCCGACTCCACTTCCTGCGGGCGCATCTCAGCCTCCGCCCGGGGTTGCTCCCGGGTGGTTTCTTCCCAGGACAAGTTTCAGCTGTTGCTGTGACTGCAGATCTGGGGGCTGATACTTTGACCCCAGCCCACAGTCAACAGGGTGCCCTGGGTTGGCCACAGTGCGTCCTTTCTCACAGCTCCGTCGCCCAGAGATGCCTTCCTGGGCACCCCGGTGAAGGGTCTGGGCAGCGGGTTAAGCTGACCATCCAAGCAGACGCACCCACACAGTCAGAAAGCTGGACTGTCTTAGGTCCATCTATCTCCTTTATTTATTTATTTATTTATTTTTGAGAGGGCATCTCTCATATTTATTAATCAAATGGTTGTTAACAACAATAAAAAATTCTGTATAGGGGA